TAAATAGAAACCCTAGTTCGCAGGACAGACAAAACTCCTTAAGGCAGGAATGCTCAAGCAGCTTCACACGAAGCGCATCGGTAAAATATAGTATCTAGACGACGTAGCCATAGTTAGAAAATGTGTATGAATCTCAAAAAATGATTTCGAACCTGTAGCATAGCATTGCAGTACGAATTTGGTAACGTTGCCTCCAGTCCCGCGAAACATGTCTGATTATGCTGGTCAAAGTCGAAGTCCTGGGTGCCCAGCTTCGTGTACTTAAGCTCGACTTTGCGATACCGTCTTGGAATGATTTTCACACCGTTCTCCGCCTTGGTCGCCGCTGCAGCTCCATTACCATTTGAACTGCACACGCCGCCCTGCTCAATCACGTACGGAATTTGATTCCGACGGGCGGTACGCGGGTTTGGCGAATATCCAATGGGTCCCTGCATTTTCATGTTGCTCAGCACTTCGGGATCAATGGTCTTGGGCCTGTGGTAGCGGTAGCGCAGCAGTTCCTCCGGCCAGTCTGAGAACCATTGTGTACCCGTCGTCAAGTGGGGCAGCATGACCGACGACAGTGGAAAGTTGGTGTCGGTAATGGAGACCATCGGCAGCTGTGGCACTACGTCCGCAAACTCTGTGCTTCGCGAAAATAGATTGAACTGCGGCTGAGGCGTTTGTACAGCGGCAATCATGTTGATGTGACCCGACTGGTCACCAAATGCCATGGCCTGTGAAGAGGAGCTGATGTCGAAGCTAAGGCACTGGCTGCCATTGGTGTTAATCTGGTACATGGATACTTGCGGCTCACTGAGCTCCACAGTGTCCACCAACTGAACTTGGCCGTAACTGGACACGACGGCCAGTCGGGATGTAAGCGATGGCAGGAACTTTAGCATCTGGGGATCAATCATCACTTGAACGGGCGCGATCAGACGCATCATACGAAAATCGTAGACCATAAGAAAGCGGTCGATGGCCAGGTTATTTTGCCTTCCGCTGTAGCCGCAAGAGATTAAAAGATTTCCCTGGACACTGAAGTCCGAAAGTATATTAGTGTGCGTCTTGATTGTGTGCTGAACACTCAGGCTGTTCAGGTCGCGCAACGTCACCGTTCCCAGCTGGTCACCGGCAAATAGATAACGTGAATTCTTGCGAAGAACTGTGCAGCCGCCAGCACCCACGTGCTCTATGCGGGTTTCCTTGAGCGTACGCAGATCAAAGTCGATGAGCTCGTCTTGCAGTCCGGCCATGACCAGACGGTGAGGGGATAACTGCAGCATGCTCACCATTTCCTTCATATTGTTCGATCTAAAAGAAATTGAAGCTTCACTTTCGAAGAATCATTGTGCCAGCGTGTGGCTTACTTGAAGGTGAATTTGGGCAGACCTCTACGCATCTGATGGCGCAGCGAGGTCTGTGTAAGCACCAGAACTCCGGAGTCTAGGGTGGAGATCTCGCGCACAATGTCGCTGGCATGGACCTGAAAGGATGTATACTTCTGCATGGAGCTGGTGTAGTACGATGTGACATGGCCCTGCGGGAAGGATTCAAGCTAGGATTAGAATGCCTGGGAGACGGGTCGAGGAACTTACGCCCTGGTTGCCCATCCACAGCAGCTCTTCGTAGTCGTCGAACGCCACGCTGGAAACTCCGAAGTGCTCTCCTCCGTCGGCGAGCACGGGCACAAGCTCCACATATTCCGGATCGGTGGTGCCGATGTTAAATCCATTGAAGCTGGGTGAGAAGTGTCCGTTACCAGGTGCAGATCCCGCGTCATAAACACCTTTTCAAAAAGTAAACAGAAAACAAAGGAGAAAGCTTTAGCTGGCTTGCATGTGTGTGTGCGTGTGGGTGAGCGTTGCCCCAATAGCGACCCATTTGACCCACTTAGTATATCTTCGGCGGCCCCGATTGGGTCGGTGCCGCAATACACGTAATCCATCTGCCGCACGGTGATGGCCTCCCGAGTGCTTATTGTTTATTTTTGAACAAATTTCGCTCAAATCTGCCAGCCGTTTTTGCGTTGCACCAATTAGAGTGACCCTGGCAGCGCTGCGGTGAAAATACTTTCGCTTCTCCAACGACTAGCTAACTTTCCAACGCTCCCCGACGCGACTGTTCGTCGTGGCAAGAAGAAGCACTGAAATGCTGCGTAGAGCTGCCACGACTGTGGGATCCGCATGTAAGAAGTACGACCTGAATTGCACAAAATTCGCGAAGAACAGAAGAACCATGGCCGATCTGCAGCAGATTGCGAGCAACAACGAACGCGCCGAAGCGCTGATCAACTCCATTGAAGCCGAGGCAAGTATTTTCGCCTGTCATCCCCTGTGAACATTCGGTAACCTACTGCCCACCAGATTTCCGGCATCCAGCAGCAACTTGTGGAGCGCCAGAAGCAGGAGCTGATCAAGGAGAACGCTGCACTGGCCAAGGAAGTTGGGGCGGCTCTGGCCCAGCTGGTGCAGCTGGAGCTGCGAAATGGCAAGAAACAGATTCCGGTGCCTGGAGCCCGGGGGCTCTGCACCAGTGCGGCCCCAGTAGTTCCACCGGCAGAGGCTGGATCTGCTCCTGCTGCTCAGGCTCCTAAGCCGGGCAAGGATCCCAAGGAAAAGAAGGTCAAGGAGAAGAAACCGGCCGCCGAGAAGCCCGCCGTCGCTCCGGAGGCTCCCATAGACGTTGGTCGCCTGGATTTACGCGTCGGCAAAATTGTGGAGGTGGGTCGCCATCCCGACGCAGACAGCTTGTATCTGGAGAAGATCGACTGCGGCGAGGCAGCCCCACGCACCGTGGTGTCCGGCCTGGTGAAGTTCGTGCCCCTGGAGCAGATGCAAAACCGACTGGTAGTGGTTATGTGCAACCTAAAACCGGCCAAAATGCGCGGCGTCATCTCGGAGGCTATGGTCATGTGCGCCTCTACGCCGGAAAAGGTAGAAGTGCTCAGTCCGCCGGCCGGAGCGGTTCCCGGCGACCTGGTTCATTGCGAGGGCTATCCGCGCCAGCCGGACGCCCAGCTCAACCCCAAGAAGAAGATCTTCGAGTCGTGTGCCCCGGATCTGATGACCAACGGCGACCTGGTTGCTTGCTACAAGGGTGCAGCACTTCATGTTCCTGGCAAGGGCAACGTGGTCGCCCAAACCCTCAAGAACGTCAATGTGAAATAAGCCAATAAAAGAAACTAAGCTTTGAGCCAATAAACGAAACATCACCGGTTATCTGCACATCAGAGTCCTGCACAAATCAATATAGCAATTACATTTTTTTTATATAAACTTTCATTATCAGATCCATTTGAACTTAGGAAGTACTTCAGTATGTAGCACCACTAAGGAGTAGTCCTACAGGAACATTGCTGTGATGCACATCGGAAGTTCTACTGATCATTGGGATTACTAGTTGATTACAAGTTGAGATTACATTGTCCGAACGGATTTGATTCAAGTGCGGACTCTGAGGCATTCATTTATTCATTAATTTCTCATTTTATTTCTCAGGACAGCAGTACATAACGACATTAAATTTAGCATTAACAAGTCTATTTATATGTGCATAGGAAACAGTGTGCAATCCCTAGACACTTTGGCTGGTTTACGATCCGTGCTCAGCGATTACGCTGCGCTTGCACTGGGATGCGGAGCACGGCATTGGTATTGGTCTCCACCACAATCGTTTTTGTTAGGACGTCGTACGAAGTGCGGTTGTTCTTGAAGAAGATCATCACTATGCAGATGGGGAAGAACAGAGTCATCCCCAGGTTCTTGATCAGGGCGCGGGCGAAGGAGCGCATCACCGTGGGAGTCTGTGCCGGATAAAGCAAAGCCCTCATCGGCTCCCTCTGGGGCTGAAGCACGAACTGTGGAAGGGGCGGGGCCTGAAGCGGCACCACTGCCTCCACATAGTAGATACGTATTTTCATCAGCGACTTGCCTGGCGTTGCCCCATTGTAGAGGGATGTCCAAAGCGCCTCATAGCAGCAGACTGTGAATTTCGTCAGCATCTCCATTAGCAGGAGGTCGGTGGACATCGTTATGAAATCTAGTGAAGTGTCAAAGAAATTCTCAAACAAGTCTTCTTCGTCCAGGGTGCGCCAAATGACGTCCTCATCGAACTCAATGTTAAACAGGTTGACCACTCCGAAGGTTATAATGATTTTCACAATGAAAAGGATGAACATGTCGATGGTCTCCGCTATGGCGCGCTTCCAAAAAGGTGCCAAAACGTAGTCGTAGCCGCCCAAACGCTGTATGATTTCCTGCTGGGCCGCCTCGTCCATGAATCTCAGGCGTCTGAAGTTTGGCGGTGGCGAACGAGCAGCTGCAGCAGGATGTCCCGGCGCACCAGCCGCTTCCTGAACCGATGGTTGAGGAGTCGCCGCTTGGGGATGTCCCAAGGCTGCTGATTGGAAAGCAGCGGAAGCAGGCAGACCCTGGAACATAGTCGGATAGTTGGCCATCAGATAGTACGGAAACATAAGCATCGCATTCTGGGCAAGCGTCGCCTGTTTGGCCCACTCTAAAAGGCTTTCGAAGTAGGCTTCCTTGGTAGAACGCTCCTGAGGCTTCTGCCCCGTCTCCTCGCATTTTACACCCATTGTTTCAGTCTCACAAAGTTCAATGTTTTTATTTGGCTTGGTTTTATTTATTTATACAAGTTGACGTGTATTGCAAGCGGCAGGGCGAGTCAACGTATCGGTGTGAATGGTGAACTCACCGATTCCCTGTGAACTGCAAATCGGGCGGGAAAATTTTAAAAAAAGTTTGTTTTTGATACGAAATATGCGATAGCGATGGAATTAAGATTTTAAGATTTATTATTCTAACTGTTTGTACATTGTAAATATAATCTTAAATAGAAAGTAGTTGAACAACCGAATAGAAAGCTGTTTATCCAATAAAATAAATGTAAGCAATTTTTAGGTCTTAAACATAAATTTAAAGTTATACATAAACAAAAATGATACATTACCCACATTTTCGTCCTTTTGAATCAGCGACACAGAACGAAGCACATACAATTGTCTGAATATTTTATTATTACACAGTTCGAAGTGGTTTGATTTCTTCCTTAGACATAGCAACTTAAGAATCGATACAATACAATAAATCCATTGACAACCCAGCCATGATATTTTAGATTCACATTGACAAACAGGCGTGAATATGTTCTTAAGGATATCAAGCATCTAAAAAGTACTTCGCCAGATCTCTACACCTTACATTCGTACCCTGGCATGGACGATTTTTTAATGCATGCGTATCATATACCTAGCTAATGTTTCAAAATAACATGTACATTTGATTGGGAAGTGCATTACGTTCTGTGGTTCAATTTAATGTAGTTGGGTGTTACAAGTGTATGTACGTTTAATGGTTTAATTGGAATAGATTTGAACGAGCAGACGCGATTTCTGGTGGACATGAACATCGTTTAAAACAGTGGCTTGCTTGACATTGAATTCTGCTATAAATACGAATAGGTTTCCTCCGAATTGTCCCAGGACAACTAACTAAGTTGGCAAGTTGTTGTATAAATCGAATGTATATAAACAAGCATCATCGTCTCACACACATTTTGCAACACCGAGACGAACACTCGTGTCTTACAATTAATTAAAGGAATACAACTACATAAATACACATGTATTTATTGCCACACATTACCGATATTAAGATTTCCAAACTGCTGGTTAAGATTTGATGGTACTGAGGAGGTGGTAGGCCCGTTGGCGGCGAATCCGCCCGATCCTTGTGGTTGGCCTATGTTCAAACCACTGGACAGGGGCTGCATTAAGTTCATGGAGAGGCCGCCAAGCTGTGGGTGATGTTGCTGCTGAAGCTGCTGTTGTTGTTGTTGTGGAACAGCCCCAAAGAGCGGCATCCCACTGAGGATGCTCTGGTTCGTTTGCATAAGATTCGTTGCAGCTCCCTGACCACCGGCAGCATAAGGACTGCCCCCCGTGCTAGGAAACTGGGCTCCGGTGAAGCCATGGGAGCCACCCATGCTCATTGCAGTGGCACTGCTGATAGCAGCGTTGCTGAACGCATTCGGCGCAGCCATAACTGGCGAATTGTACATGCTCACTGAGTTCGGAGGTGTCATGAACTGGTGGGGGATCTGCTGTTGCTGCTGCTGATGCATATAACCGCCTGGTGCCATGCCCGTAAAGCCGCCAAAGTTCATTTGGGGGTTGTGGGTAGTAGGCGCACTGCCGTACAGCGCCAAAATGCTGTCCTTGGACATCTTGCCGGACTGATCCTTCTCGCTGCCGCTGGCGCCCAGTGTCCCCTGGTTAAAGAAGTCCTGCTCCTCTTGTGCCAGCGAGTTCGGCTTCGAGCCCATCAAATTGGCGGCGTCACCGTTGCTGCCGTTCGGCTTTTCCGGTTGTCCGGCAATCGATTCGGCGCTGAGAAAGCTGGTGAAACTTTCGTTTTGCAGGTCTTGGCTGGCACTGGTCGCGACAATGGGCTTGGTGGGCGAGGACAGGCCCAAGAGGTCACTTTCGCCGGCACTGCTGGCGCCGCTGCTGTTCAGCTGGATGCGCTGCGTAGTCTTTGGGCTACAGCCGCCGACCTGATTGGGTTTCGGTTTTGGCAGCGGTGCGGGCAGGGGGGTGTTCTTAAGCGCCGTCACTGATGACCCGGACAGACGCTTGTCGCCGCTGCCACTGGTCACTCCACCGAGGCCCAAAGTGGCCTGGGCCTGCGTGGTCTTCTTCTTGCGCTTCTGCCGTTCCAGCTCCTCGTCGATCTCCTTACCCCAGTCCACTTTGGGCGGCGAGGGAGGCACCCATTCGCGGGCCAGGTACTTCTTGTGCTCGTACTTGGCCCGGATGAAGTTCTCCAGCGCTGTGTCCGTCTGCGGGCGACGGAATCCGTCCGGCAGCTGCGCCTCGTAGACGGCGCGAGCTCGCGAGTTCCCCATCTGCTGCAGCGAGATTACCTGCTCCGGAGTCCAAGTGTCCAGGTTGACGGACTTCACGCGCGATATGTGCACGCCCAGGTTGCGATGGATGCCGGCGCAGCGAATGCAGAGGAACATGCCCAGGTTCCAGGAAGCCCAGCGTGGACCTAGGGAGAAAAGGGTGCATTTAGTGGCTTTCTGCAACACACAAGCTTTTATCGCAGTGCAGCTGCATGTGTGGTGTGTATATGCACGTACATATGTGCGTCACCAAGAGGCGTATCTCTCGCCGAAGAAGTGCAGATCAGTAGACCCTATCTACATACCCTTGGCATCGCAGTCCACGCAGTATTTGTTATCCTCGTCGCGGAGCATCTGCGTCAGAAGGGTCTGGCACTTTTCCTGAATTAGCTTCGTGCGCTGTCCCGCATTCGAGGAGCTCATTTTGGGATAATATTACGGTCTCTGGGGCCTGCTTTTGATATTTCTGGCGGGGCGCGACTGTGCGACGTGGCGTGGGCGACGGGTAGAGTTGGCTTATCTCTGCTTCACATGGATATACAACTACCAGCGAATTGAATTGACAATTTTCTACAAGTTTTTGCTACCGAAAAAGTGATGCGTCCAGTGGGACCGTTTGGCGGTGAAGGAAAAACGGCGATCGGGTTGTTACTAACGCCAAGCCAAGCCATCTTGCCATTCACGGAGAACTCAAGCCACTTTTTAAAAAAGTTGTTTACTTTTGCCTTCGGAATATTTGAACTCGTATAAGCCGGCCATAATGGAAGTTTTGAGGAAGAAGTTAGAGTCCTGCCTGGTGATAGTGAACAGGAACAATGCAGCAGAAACAAACTGGCTAAATGTAAATGGAAGAGGGAAAACTGTCCGCAGGACACTACTCACTTGTTGCTTTGGATTTCAGGAGCTGTGTGCCGTGCTATTGGAATTCGCTACCTTGGCCCACAGCTCATTCTGCTCCCTGGGCCAGTCGAAGTCCTCGGAGTTCGTATGCCTCTGCCTAAGCCAGATTATGATCTGTATTCGCCAGGTGGAAAACACAATGAAACTAGAATGCGGCACTACAATGTCGGTGAGTGATTTGGACATGATTTAGGCATTGCACACTAATGTCTTACCCTCTGAACGCAGGTAAGTCATCAGTACTTCGTGGATCGCATTCGGTGGTGCCTCAAGCGCCTCATGCATCTCTACAGCGAGGAATCGGGTAGCGAAGAAGTTGCTTCGGAACGCTCTTTCATTAAACTGGTGGATGCCGCACTAGATTGTTTGGCTCTGTTCACTTCGCACAGTGAGGATAACACCGATATCTCAAACTGTCCCAAATCTCCCAAGGAAGTCCTATCCCTCAGCCAGAAGTTGCGTGTCAATATTGATTTAATCTTGGGTCAATCCCTGGGATTCGCCAATGTGGCTTTGTCACAGGACAAAAGGGCTCTCAGTGCGTTGTGCCAAAAGGTTGGTGTACTTCTTCTGCAATATTAATTAGTTAATAAATCTAAAAATTAATTTGTTCTTTAGGTTATCCGCGAGTGCAATGCTTTTCAGGAGGAGTGCAAGGAGTCTTCCAGAGCCCACTACATGTCCACCCTTAAGCTAAGGGCAATGACCATGGAACAGGCAATTTACCAATTGGAGGACTTTATAAACGATGCGCTTCTGCGTTTGGTATTTACATGCTTTCTGGATTTTGAGAAGTTTTCGGTGGACAAAATAAGAGCCCTGCTGAGGAACAGCTCAGATAATGATGATATGGCCGATGAACTCATAGCGGACTTTGATGTCAACATCGATCGCGCCACTCAGATAGGCATTTTTGCCATCTCCTTTGCGCCGAACTTGAAAAGTATAATTTATTAATTATATAAGCGCAACTAACGCCAGTACTAATCCCTTTCCAGTGAAAACTATGATGCGCAGCTGCTTGGCTTCCTTTGAGTCACTGGACACTACCCTGATACCTTCTCTGCAGGCACATGGTTCCGTTTTGCACTCGGACATCCTAGAACAGCATTTCAACGAGGAGGTGACCAAGTTTAAAGCAACGCTTCAGGAGATCATCGACAGCCGCGCCATCCTTGGTTGTTGCTTGGAGATACTGACCTCAGGAATAAGTGCAACCGAAAAACTTTACGATAAGCAGCGATTGGAAGACTTGATCCAAATTTGCTTGCTGTTAGTCGAGCACTTTCAGCTGGAAGTCAACCGAAAAGTTCTAACCGAAACGCAGGACCGATTGGGAGAAGAGTACTACCAGCAGTTCATCCGGATACTGCGTGAGTGTAAGGCAATTTTGATGTGTGCATCCCAGGTGGAGCCGCAGAGAATCCTCAAGCGCTTCAAGATCTTGCGTACGATCTTGCGCAAACTGCACGGCACCCTGGGAGTTGGTAAGCAAGAAGATGAACTTCCTACTCCCATGGCTCCCCTCCTAGAGGATGAGGCCAACGATACCAAGGAGGTAAATGAAGACGTAACAAATTACTCTCGCCTTAAAACATCCCGGGGCGGCAGCATTCTCTACGACACAGAGCGTAGGAATAGAGTAACTAGAACAAAGGACAACAAGCTACCGACAAATACCTTGGACATTAAATCGGAAAAGGCAAAATCTAATGGAAATGTTCTAAGAAGTAAGTCGGCTGATGGTTAAATTATTGTAGTATTGTTCTAAAGTTTAGAATGCTATTTTCAGGAGAAAGTTTACGGACTGTTATGTTCAAGCGCCAAAATATAGCGGAAAGCAGAAAGCTATACACTTCTGTGAGTAATCAGTCCACGGATCTCCAAATCACAGGTACCTAAAGATATTACATAACTTGATACGTCTTACCATAAATTCCATTTCTTGTAGATATACTCGACCAACTGACTGGAATGTCCAATGGATACTTTGAATGCTAAAGCATTTTAACCATATGTACATAACTTTTTATTAAGTTTAGTCATTTAAGAGAGTAATTTTGCAATTCAAACTTAACGTACGTCGCCACTTGAATGTCATAGGTCAGTTAGGCATACACACAAACATGTATGGTTTTCGGGTGGCGGAGAGTGTCGCATCGGAAACAGTTTTGACTGTTGTAAAAATAGAGCAATAAGTTCAAATAAAAACATAGAGACAAGCACACTTGTCAGCGCATCCCCCTCGGTAGATTGGCCTTTAAATTACACTGGAAACCCCCTGACGCTCAATATGTAAAGCTGTGAAGGTAATCCCAATCGATTTTCCACCATAAGAGGCAGCCAGGACTCACAGCCAACAGATACACACGGTGATTGCTTGGTGAACAGTAAGCACTCGGCTATGAAATCGCTTACCGGCGAAAAAATTGCTCTGTCCGAAGAGACTAGGGCCCCGCCTTCTCCCAAAAAGCGACTAGGAAGTGCCGTGAGTAGGGATAAGGCTACAAATAACCATCATGTGGTGCCGTTGGGTATCCTCGTGGTGCTCTGCACTGTGTATCTCATGGTAGCCGGGATGCAGCGCCACTACAGGTACTACTTTAAGCCGGGCGTGGCTGCCTTCGACCTGCACCATTTCCAAGCCGCCGACGTCCAGCCGGAAGCCATGGCTGAGGAGTTGGATGCCTCCGCTCCAGATGCATCTTGCCAGAAGTTGGATGTTTTCGGAAAGGAATCCGATCGGATTCCAGCTGCTCAGCCAGTTTCAAGAAGATCCCAAGGCAAGCCCACGAGAAAAACCAAAAATGGCACTGGGAATGGGGTCAGCAAGCAACCTCGTTTGACGAAATCCCCGGAGGGCCACAAGAAGAAGGAGGCCAGCAAGAAGAGTAACACTGCGGAGCCCATTATCTATCTTTTTGCCCTGGTTTTCATCTATCTGCTGCTGAAGGCCGCCTCCGACATCAACCAGCACTACAAGTCGGTAAGGTTAACTTGCATTCCACTCCGTATTGCCGCGTGAATAATCCTTCTTCGGCAGCAGAACAAAGGGGACAAACGACTCCGCCGCTGCTCGCTGCAATCCTATGCCCAGATCCACAAGCAAGATCGGCGGTCATCAAAAGGTATTTCACCAAAATCTTTGCCAAAATTTTAGCTCGCTGGGCCAGGTGCTTATTACACCGTGTTAACGAGGGATCAAGTGAATTGTTATCCTATAAATCTAAATGTATCTACTACTATGTACTGAATTAGCCAATTTTCTGTACTGTAAAGCACTGTCCACCCTTGAATGGGCGCTAGTTTTCTGACTTTTTCGGAAAATGTATTGTATATTGTGTACCTCTAGTCTATCTTTTATCTCTACATCTCTACATCCAACTACTACCGCACTTTTCGGGTTCGATTATGCGTTTGATATCTGTGTTTTTGAACGACCTCCACTGTTTACCTCCTCTTCACCTCTCTGTGAAACTGTACTGAATGTAAGGTTGTACATACTCGAATGTATATTGCTGTCCTAGATGTGCGTAATCGTAAAATAAATCAATTACTATGTGCTTTCCTGTGATCAATTTACGTAGCCATGTTAGATTGCGTTTCATTTCCTCCGTTTGAATGGGCTTTTCCGCAATCCTCTGCGATCTCTCACCCCAAACTGACCGCTCTCCATTTCCCCAATGCATGCCAAAGTGGAGGAGTCCCCGATCTTCCGGCGAAAGCATATTATCAGCGAAGAGCGTTCCGTGTCGGTGGATCGCTACAAGTACACGCTGAACGATGAGGGAGGCTTTACGAAGTCCGCTCCGAGGGTGCAGGAGTATCACTTCAGAGTCGTGTCTCCTTTGGCCGGCCGGCCAAGTCACCAGCATCCAGTTAGGCTTGGCTCAGGAGAAACCCGTATTGGTAAACTCGCACAACAATGTGACTCGTCTCATAAGACCAACTATTTTCTTCTTTAGAGCCCCGTCTAAACCGTCGCTCCTCGGTTCCAATCAGCATTAACTATCAAACAGTTCACATATCGAGTGCACATCCACCCGAAATGGCCAGACGAGGCTCGGTAATAAGCCTCACTGGTCTACCAGAAGTCAGTGGCATGCCAAATATGCCAAGCGGCACTGCGGATCCAAAGCGACGCGTCCGCATGATAAATCGCCATTGAAACCCAGATGAAATCAGGGCAAGGCCCATCGGAACTGCAAAGAGACTACAGTATTTGAGTACACCATTTTCAAATCTCACACTTTGTAGTCCTTCTTAATGCGTTTCTTTTAATCAGTTAATTATGTTATATTATTCAAGTGTTTTAAAAAACGTACAAAGAATATTCTTCTCGAAGACACCGAATTTACGCCCACTTCCGCGGGAAGCGGAGAGCGAGCCAACGTTTGCCATTTTGCCATCCTATTGTACATTATTCTACTTAGGGCAAGATTAAAAAAATCTTAGGCTAGCGTAGTGTTTAGTTTGGAATTCAGTACCTATGATATTACCATTATCTACGAAGTAACTACGAACTTGTGATGCTCATTACAATGACAATTACATACAGCTATGTATCTAGGTTGAAAGACCTGCTGGGCGAAACGGATGAAAGGGTGCAAGATCTTAACTACGGTTAACGCGCTACTGGATCGTGGTGCGGAGATATGGTCGGAGTGGTCCCTACTGCTAATACACGTATTCTACAAGGCCTCCATCTTCATCGAATTTTGCGCTAGTTTCTCCTATTCCATTAAATATTATAATAAATTACGTATTTTAATTGCATGTGGTTTGAAGTTCGTGCCTGAGCCGCATTCAGCTTAGCTCGTTGCCCTCGTATAGGCTCTCGCAGCTCTCCAGCAGGCGCAGCACCGGGGAAATGTCGTAGGGGTAGAGCTGGCGCGAGACGAGGCGAGATATCTGCAGGCGCAGCCGGATAAGAACCCCCATCGCCTCGTCCAGCATGGCGCTTCCCATGCCGAAGGTGTGACAGCTGTGCACGAACATCGTCCAGTTCATGCGGATGTACTTGAGCAGGCGCAGCAGGTAGAGCAGAAAGCAGGTCTCGTTGCTCACCAGCAGGTCCAGCAGTAGGTCCGAGCTGTTCGACGTCATCTTCAGGAACTCCAGGAATGTGTACACCGGATTCAGCATGGCCACCAGCTCGGGGAAGGCGTTGTTGCGGAACGAAATCCCTGACGTGACGTCCAGCGTGCAGACCATGGCCTCGATCAGGTGGTCGTCCTGGTCGTCAAACAGGTGGATCAGGATCTTGCTGAAGTGGCACTCCGGGTGGAATTCCAACGTCTGCTTGATGAACGTCTCCAGCTTGCTCAGTACATCGCGAATAGAGCGCTCGATGAGCATCATATCCTGGAAGGCATCGTAGTCGGTGGAATCAATCGATGAGTCGGATGAATCACTGCGAATCTCTTTCACTGTGACCGCTATCGACTTTAGTACCAACAGGACCATCTTCTGCAACAGTGTTTTGTCCATTTCGATAAGGTCCAGTGGCGCACCGTCTTCTTCACCATCCCCTGATTGCGCGGCATGTGCCAGGGTAATTGTTCCATTGGCATAAACCAGCGGCCTGCCATTGTAGCCGATCAGGCTGACCATGTTGTCAGGCTGTCGGCGCGGCAGCGACTCCAGGATGCGGAAGCCCCGCACATGGCAGACTATCTGGTGAGCCAACTTGCACGTCTCCTCGGGCAGCATGTCCTGCAGCGCCAGCGTGGAACCATAGCACAACGCCTCGTTGAAGAGGCACAGCATCTGCTTGTACACGGTGCAGGAGAGGCTGTGGCTGAGCAGCAGCTCAAACTTGTCCAGTTGGGCATAGTAGGGCCGCGTCTCATCGATGGACAGATTGGCCTTCACCGAGATGATGTTCTCCCAAAGCTGTAAGAAGTTGAGCACACAGTGCTCGGCCGCATCCTGGTGTGTCGGTGCCATCAGCTCCGACATGTTCTTCACCAACGTGGGCCACTTGTGTTCCAGCTTTTGAATGGTGATGCATTTCAGGTGCGTCGTATCGAAGCTTTCCGAATCGGTGAGTGTGACCACATGGCAACCGCTGGGCATGGTCGTGGACTGGGGAGCAGGATGTGGTTCATAGGCAACGTTCATCTCCTCGCCAAAGTGCCGCCGATGCCGGTCGCGGTTGTCAGGCGCTTCCTGCTCCAGCTCTCGCTCACCCTCTGCATCCTCGCGAAATTGCAGTGCAAAATAATTGGTGGCTAGCGGCTGCTCCTGCACGGGGAAGTGCATGTAGCTCACAGAAGCCTCTGCCGAAAGAGGCACAACTGACGAGGATGCGCTTGTACTATTCGCCGCCGCCATCCAATCATCGTCCAGCGGATGGATCTCCATGTCTTTCCACTCGACTATGCGCTTGATGATGTCAAGGCTGAAGTGGATCTTCTGCACGGCTGCCTGGTCAAGCTGCTCGAAGTTAAATAGCTGATCGACGATTTTTTGCAGCCATTCGTCATTCAGCTCCTGCTTGGCAATCACCAGAAATGCGGCTAGCACACGTCCCGCCAGAAATTGCACGTAAGAGTTTTCATAGCCGGCCAGCACGATTATCTCGTCGATAAGCTTGTGGTCATTGCGAATCAGTGCGTCGCAAACGTCCATTATCCGTGTGCAGATGAAGCCCTTTGCGTTCTGCTTCAGGTAGATGTCGAACAGTAGCTGCAGATTGGACAGGAACTGCAGCAGCTTGTTTGTAGGCCACTCCCGCAGGTAGGCTATCCGCTTCTGGCCGTTGGTATCCTGTGAGTAATGCGACTGGAAGGGTTTGCGCAGTGTTCGCTCCGAGACGCCGCACAGGCACTGGCGGGTCAGGGACTGCTCGAACTCCAGCATATCGTCGATGGACGTGGCTGCTGTTGCTTGCATGCAGTTACTCCTGCTGCTCGCATGACTGCCATTGCTATTGGTCGTGTCGAGCGTTAGCAGGTTGGGCAATTTGGCCGCTCGGTCCACTTCGTCATGGGCGGATTCAGGCTGGCTGTGAGGGTCTTTGTCCCCGTTTTGTGGCAAGATATTGTGCAGAAGCTGGGCGTAGGATGCCGCCCGGGAGCTGCAGGGCGTGGTGGTGGGTGAGTTGTTGGCGGTGCTTGGCGTTGACAGCGAGTGCGAGGAGGACGAGGAGAGCGAGGAGCACAGGTGGCTGTTGCTGTTGGCGTCCAGGTCCAGTATGTCCGGCGGCTGTGGTGGCAGCGCCTTGGAGCCCACCTT